ACTCCTTGGGAGTTTAGGATATCTCCAGTCCCCAACCTACTATACTTTACCCTCACTTTCTGCCATCCGCTGGACACAAGTGGAATAGAGAGGAAAGGAGGGGATGAGGAAGGAAGGAAGGAAGGAAGGAAGGAAGGAAGGAAGGAAGGAAGGGAGGGAGGGAGGGAGGGAGGGAGGGAGGGAGGGAGGAAAGGGACGGAACTGCAGGGCAGGTCGGCGGAGCCCCCTACCCTCCTGCCCTTGGACCTGTAGCAGCACACTTCTCCACCTGCTAAAGCAGCTACTGATGGGTGTGAGGAGCCTCAGCGGCTAGAGGGACGTCAGCCCGATTGGAGCAACTCAGCAGCCAGCTGCTGGGAAGAGCAGGAGGGTGAAATTTAGCCACTCCCTGGGCTCAAAACCTGAATGTTTATCCCTCCCCAGATCAGGCCAGCACAGCACTGGGTCCGCTCCTAGTGGGCAGGGTCACATCGGTCTGCAGGCTGGAAAGATCCAGCCAACAGGACACGTGGCAGGAAGGATAAGCAGACAGGAGGGCCCTGGCAACAAATGGGCTACATGATCAACAAAGAAGGTTCCAAGCCGCAGGAAGTGGAGCGAGGATGCGTAGGCCAGAGCTACCAAGGGGTATGCAGCGCTGGTTCTCACCAGCAAATCATGGAGCCACTCTGAGTCTCAGTTTCCTCCTGCATAGAAGGAAAATAATAACTATTATTTGATGGCTATTGATATTGTGATCTGTGATTGGGTGAACACGTTTATTTATTTATTTTTTTTAAGATTTTATTTCTTAGAACACCTGGGTAGCTCTGTGGGTTAAGCGACTGCCTTCGGCTCAGGTCGTGATCCTGGAGTCCCGGGATCGAGTCCCGCATCGGGCTCCCTGCTCAGTGAGGAGCCTGCTTCTCCCTCTCCCAGTCCGCCTGCTTGTGTGTGCACGCTCTCCCGAACAGATAAATAAGTAAATAAGTAAAAAATTTATCTGTCAGGGGGAGAGAGTGAGCGCACACAACCGGGGGAGAGGCAGGCAGAGGGAGAGGGAGATTTGTCACTCTAGGTGCCACTCTATCTTCCCAGCCCACATCCTCAGCCTCCACAGCAAAAATACCAGTTAGTTCATCTGCATTCAGCAAAGATGCAGTGCGTAGCTCTGCCAACTGAGAGAGCTGTCAGTACACAAGGGCCCCAGAGATACCTAGGAAATAGACCCACTGTCTGCCAGTCACGTGGCATGTCAGAAACACAGGTCCCGCAGCTGCCATCTGCTTCGCCAAAGGTCTGACCTGAGGAGACCATCTGTATGACAGACACTGAGGGGCTTGGGAGGGCAACAGAGCTTCTCAGAAAACCCAGACCCCACCCCACCCCAAGGCTGGTCTTCCTCTCTAATCTTACCTCTCACTGTTTGCCCCTCACTCACTTCTACTGTTACCTGTTCCCCAAAGAGGCCACGCTCATTTCCACCTCAGGGCCTTTGCACTTGCTGTGACCTCTGCTGAAAACACCGTTCTTCCTGCCTAGAAGAAGCTTTCCCCAGATCTTCCCTAGGCTTCCTCCTCCTTGTCTTCCAGATGTCAGATCATGGTCCCCTCCTTCGGAAGGCCTTTCCTGACCACCTCACCTAAATTAGTGCCCCCAGTCCATTCCTCTCCATTGCATCATCTGGCTTCCCTTCCTTCGTGGTGCTTGACACTATCTGAAAGGATCTTGTTCATTATTTGCTTCTGTGTTCAGAGAGCACTTGGCAAATGGTTGACTCTCAATGAATATGCACTGAATGAATGGACAAATGAATAAATGAATGAATGGGAGATCTTACTAACTTTTCTGGTAATAAGGATACAGAACCCTATATCCAAAAGCACCCCCTCCCCTGTCAGTTAACAAGGGCAGAGACCACGAGAAATAACACTGTGGTTGGTAACAACGTAACAACCAGAGGGCAGTTATATCTACACACATTGCTGGGCATGCTTCCAAAGCTAAAAAGGCACTAATTGCTTTTATATAAGGAGGTAGAAATGCAGTCCCTCCGTGCCCTTCAGTCCTGATGGTCTGCATTATGGTATCTGTTACCATGTTAATTGTTCCTGTCTCACACAGGCAGCCTGGGCTCTATTCTGCATGTGTCTGGGTTGGTGACAGGTTCCTATACAGAGTAGAGAGGTACCAGGGAAGCGTGCGTGTTGTGTTCGTGCATGTGTATCCGTGTGTGTACAAGTGTGTATAAGAGCAGTGACACTCCGGGAAGGGTTAACTCGCAGTCCAGCTCTCTGTGCTCAGGGCCCTAAGACTGGCCCAGGAATGGGAGGGGTGGGCTCGGAAGGTGGAGCAGGCTTGGCTTGCCTGAGCTGCCTTTTCCAAGACAGGAGAGCAAATGCTTGCCCAGCTGGACCGAGCGGGGTGAACTCACGTCGCCTTTAGGAATGGCTGCAGAAGCCCACACCTGGAAATCCCTCCCTCCCTGTCCCTGCACGGCAGGTTGCATCTGGGAGGCTCTCCGGTCATTAGAGGAATGAGCTGAGGGTGAGCAATTCACCAGCTCGCCAGCACTTGGAGAACAGCAGGTGAGGATGGATGTGGTCGACAGCCTTCTCGTGAATGGAAGCGACATCACCCCTCCCTGTGAGCTGGGAATCAAAAATGAGACGCTTTTCTGCTTGGATCAGCCCCAACCTTCCAAAGGTAGGTGTCAGACGCTGTTATTTTAATTCAGAGAATGATCGAGGGGAGGGAGAAATCAGCTAAGACGAGGCTGATAGAGAAAATATAACAAAGTCCTCTTGAGACCAGGCTGGATAAAGTCATACGTTCACAAGTTTGGATAACAGATCAAAAAGCAGAACTGAGTCAAATACCCTGATTGTTGCCCACAGGAGAGTTGAGATGGGTGTATAGGACATGGGGGCGAGGGGGGGGACAAAAGCCAAGGGAGGAGGAGCTGAAGTGTCATAAGAAGGGGGTACAAGTGTCAAAGGTGGAACTTACCAGCATCACAGAAAAGGTGTTGTCACAATCGAGCTGTCACCTTTTCTTGGGGGAAATCCAGCGTGAAAAAGTGATTAAAGTGAAATCATGCTTAGCAGCTGGGAAAAGAAAGCAATCACTAGTCACTGGAGAAGCTTTGTTCTTAAGAAAAAGTGGTTCCCTGCGTGATTCTTTAACAAATTAACCTCTCGGAAGCAACGGAGTCACTCCGTGCGCTCCTCAGTTTGTTTCTGCAAAATATTGTCGATAGAGCAATAGTCGGGTTCAGTGATTGTAGACCCTTGCAAAAAAAAAAAAAAAAAAAAAAACTGCAGGAATCACCGTTCATTTCGTGTGCTAAGGTTTTAACATTCTGTTCCCATAACCTCCGTCCCCCTGTCTCGTCCCCATTACTCTTTGCAGAGTGGCAGCCGGCCGTGCAGATTCTCCTGTACTCCGTGATTTTCCTGCTCAGCATGCTGGGGAATACGCTGGTCATCACCGTGCTGATTCGGAATAAGAGAATGAGAACTGTCACCAACATCTTCCTGCTCTCGCTGGCGGTCAGCGACCTCATGCTCTGCCTCTTCTGCATGCCCTTCAACCTCATCCCCAACCTGCTCAAGGATTTCATCTTCGGGAGTGCTGTTTGCAAGACCACCACCTACTTCATGGGTGAGTTTGCTGCTGGCGACTATTTCTGGAGCTCGCCCCAGACCCCACTCGGCCCCAGACCTTCCCAACCCCTGACAGCCTCAGCAGAGGCGTCCTGCTTAGTGAGAAAAAAACAAACAAACAAAAAAACAAAACACCCACCAAAAAAACACAAAAAAACATCTGGCTTCTTGGGGCTGTGTGCAAGGAAGCAGGTGCTGACTTTAAGGTAGGTCGGTCCTCACGTGTCGCCAGAAGTCAGTCCCCTGTGTGTCATCTGTTTCAGAGGTCAGTTTCTCAGAGTGGAATAAGTTGTTAAGCAACCACAGAAGAGGTTGGTTTTGCTTGCTTCTGCTAGAAAGAAAGAATGATTCAAGCGACTCTGTCCCTTCCTGGAAGCCACTGGTCGTAGTCTGAGCTCTGCCCAAGCTGAGCCATGGCTTTTGGGGATGGTGGGGGTGGTGGAGGAGGGTTCTTTCTGTTGTTGCTCCTGCTCTCCTAGGGAACAGGGGCTATGTGAAAATGAGTTTCATCCCAGCTCTAGATTCCTGTCTCAGGGTTCACTTCCCAGCCTGATCCCCAGGGGCTGGGACCCTCTCAGGCAGAGAGAGAGAGAGAGAGAGAGAGAGAGAGAGTCCTCTGACACTAACTGAGGAGCTGATTTTGCTCCCAGAGCCTCTGGGTCATTAAGCTCCCCCTGACTGGCTGAGACATGCAGATCAATCTGCCAAACAAAATGATGATGATAAATACAAATCCCAAGAGCCGAGATTTTTGAGTACTTTTTATGCACCAGATGTGGTACAAAGTGTTTTACTCCCACGATCTCATCTCCCAACCCAACCCTGCGAAATAAAATACAGTTGTTCTTTCCCGTCTCACCGAGGAGCGAACAGAGGCACAGAGAGGTTAATCGTGTGCCCCGGGGACACACAGGTGATAAGCCACAGAGCTGAGATTTGAACCTAGATCGGGAGCCACCACAGTGGTGGGTGAGGACGCTGCCCCAGTTTGCCAGCTGCTGGGGTTCCCCTGAAGCCGAACAAAGATGTTTCTTGGCCCTCTGTCTGCCAGACTGCCCTGGGCCTTACCCCTTCTGAGTACTAGCTGCGGGGAGGAGGAGAGGCGGGAAATGAGGGAGGGTTGTTTTTTGTTCTAACCTCAGCCTTGCAACATGGGCAGGGCTGCGTTGGCCTGGGGCCGTCCTCAGTGACGGGAAAGCTTTCAAAGCCTTGATTTCTCCCCATCGAGGCAGGGGGATCCAGCCCTCACAAAACGATGATGAATTACTGATCCGTGTGCGACGGACAACCAACCAAGAAAGTGTCCGTCCTTGTCCAAGAGCTCTGAAAATAAAAACGGACTTACAAATGAAAGGGATCATGATTAAACAATGAAGCAATAACAGTTAACTAGCATCTCCTCACGCTTTCGGCTTTCATGGCCCACCCATATGTATCTTGTGATAATATTATTCAAGAATCTTAAGTAGGGTCCGTGAAAGGAGATTTAAAACAAGTGCTTGTGTGATTGCACAACTCTGTAAATGTGCCGAAGGCCACAGAATTGCCGCTTGAAAATGGTTAATTTTTTGTGATGTTTCACCTAAAAAAAAAGTTTTTAAAAATAGCTAAAATGAAAAGCAAGAAAATTCTGAAGCTGTTTGCAATACCGTAATGGTTTTGTTGGATTTCTAAATCCGGGGATTTTGATTCTGCCCTTGATTTTGTGTTCTCCTCAATACTATTCCTAACAGTTAACATTCATTAAACTCCTTATATGCAGCCAGGAAAAAAAAAAAAATGAAAAAAAAGGAAAGAAGGAAGGAAGGAAGAGAAAAAAGAAAAGAAAAGGAAAGAAAGAAAGAAAGAAAGAAAAAGAAAGAAAGAAAGAAAGAAAGAAAGAAAGAAAGAAAGAAAGAAAGAAAGAAAGAAAGAAAGAAAGAAAGAAAGAAAAGAAAGAGTTCTTGCCTGATGGTGGGTTTATAATAACAATGAGCCCATTATACAGATTTGACTCTGAAGATGCCCAGGTTAAACTCCCTGTAATCTCAATGTCATCAGTTCCTTGGGGTAAAGTGCAGGAAAACACAGCCATCCTGTCTCAGAACATGAGTTTTTATTTAATGGTTTTGGGGTTGTAGATTCCTTCAAGTCTCTAAGGAATACTGTAAGTATTTCACCCTAGAAAAGAGAACATTTTTATACACAGTTTCAGAGAATTTATTTATACCCATAAAAGGCCCCAGGCTAAGAGCTTCTTCTCCCCAACTTAGATTCATTCTAAGGTTTAAGAAATCATGCTAAAGATAATCAGAAAAACTGACAGAATCCATGGGTGACTAGGTAAAGAATTTTTAGGGGATAAGATGTGATAATAAGTATACACACAGACAATTCAAAAGTTAAAGAAAATTAAGTTTTTTTGACTCTGCCTAAGCACATCATTGTAAATGAGGTTTTGTGATGTCTTCCTCGCCGATGATGCATGCTCGTTCTACAAAATACAGAAAAGCAAACAATAAGAAGGAAAGTTCTAGTCCTCCGGCCAGGAGCAACCTTTAGTTACAGTATAGCATGTCCTCCCTTTATCCTTCCTTTACTATGTGTTTTTTCAACAAAATGCTTTTTCAAATTTATAATGTTTCATTCTTAAAAACAGCCTGTACTAGAAAATCTCGGAAAGTTTTAATGCCTCCAGCTCAGACCCCAGTGACCTTTCAGGGTCACAGTCCTTAAGAATCTGGGTTATTAGGTCAACTTAACTCCAGGTTATGCTCAAAATGAGAGCTTCTCTCTAGGCGACTCAAAAACTTCTTCTGTGGGAGAGGAACGTATCTCAACCCCTTGGTTATTAATTAATGAGCAACTTCAGTCTGAGAAGGAGTTCAGTTGTAATCAAAGTTCAATAAACGTATCTAAAAGTGGGCAATCAGACATACTCATAAATACATTTCTTTAACTGCCTTAAATCCTTTTTGAAGCGAAGCTGGGAATCAATCATTTAAAAAAAAATACAGGTACATGATATTTCTTTCCCCTCTGAGTGTTGTCCCTCAATATCAAACCTGTGCAGAGCAGATATGCTTAAGCTAATGTGCAAATAAACTTGGGATTTCAGAGCCGTCATAACCAACTTCTTTATTCCTTTCCCAGGCACCTCTGTGAGTGTATCCACCTTTAATCTGGTAGCCATATCTCTGGAAAGATACGGTGCGATTTGCAAACCCCTGCAGTCCCGGGTCTGGCAGACCAAATCCCATGCTTTGAAGGTGATTGCCATGACCTGGTGCCTCTCCTTCACTATTATGACTCCGTACCCAATTTATAGCAACCTGGTGCCTTTTACCAAACATAACAACCAGACCGCCAATATGTGCCGCTTTCTACTGCCAAATGATGTCATGCAGCAGTCCTGGTAAGGTGGCGTGGTGTTTACTTGAGTAACACAACTTGTCACAGTGTGCAGTTTTTATAAAAACGGGAATGTATTGTCCAGAGCGGCTGGGGGAGGTCCGTGTCCAGGAGACTTTGAGGAGGATTATTCTAACTTCTTTTTAGGATAATAGTGATAGCAGACACTTAAGTGTTCTGTTTTAAATGCCATACACACATGACTTCAATCAATCCTCTTAAAACCCGATAGGGTAGGTACGGTTATTGTTCCTGTTTTGCAGATGATGAAACTGAGACTTGGAGAAGGTAAGTGAGTTGCTCAAGGTCACAGAACTAGAAGAGAGAGAGCCTCTCTGCTTACCCGCTATGCCGAATGCCTCCGGATGGTCTAGCAGGGGGTTGGCTACAGCATCTGGAGGGCTATGATTTTTCTAAGAACTGCAGATAAAGCAGAGAATGAGTCCCAAATCCTGTGTGGTTTTTCTTTTTTTAGAGCTGCAGCTACAGTACTGGCACAGAACACTTCACTAGAAATAAACACGCGAGATTCTAAGACTTTCTTTGCTTACTAGCCGACTGACATTGGACAAGTGCAAATAACCTCTCCGAGGGTCAGGTTCTTTATGCAATGATATAATAGAGTTTTTTTTTTTTTAATCTACCTCATTGGTGACTATAAGAGTCAAAGGAGAGCCTGTGTATGAAAATGTCATTAAATATTCTAAAAAAATACAAATGCAGGGTATTACGTTTACTAATTCCAGGCATATTTTAGAATCAGGGAACTAGATATTCAAAAACGGCTCAAAACTGAGATAATCTCTGCTTTCTTTGCCTTCCTTTTTTTTTTATTTCAACCAAGTACACACACACACACACACACACACACACACACACACACGGTTATGTTGCAAATGAGAGAAACATTTCCAAGACTTGAAAAGGAATCTTATCAAAACATGTCCAATTGAAATGAGAAATGGCCAGCCACTGTGAGTCTCTGACAATTTTATGGCCTAATCCTGTAACCTTACACATGCCAGACTGCAAAAATGATTTAGGGGCCAGACTCATGAAGGAGGCTGTGGGGCTTCAGGAATCAAACATGTTTAGAGAAAGCATAGCTCTGCCCCACCAGGCACTAGAAGGAGCCCACCACTGTGACAATGGGGCAGAAACAGCCAGAACACCCTATTTTGCAAAACCACGGAGGCCATCCATCATCCCTACCTATGCGCTTGATGGTTCTGTTTTGTAAAGTCAACAAATAGTGTGTTGTGATGCTTAAGAGCATGGGTTCTAGAATCATGTATTCCTTGGGTTCAAATCCCACCTTTGCCACTCGGTGTGTGACTCTGGACGAATGATTTAGTCTCTATAAATCTGTTTCCTCACGTATAAAATAGGCATTATGATAACAGTACCTACCTCAAAGGTTACTATGGGAATTAAATCTAGTGTTGCATATATATATATATATATGAAATATTATTATATATACAATGCTTAGCCTAGTGTGTCATGCAGTAAGTCCTCGATGAATGTAAGCTCTTATCAGTATTTATGTTTTTGGTAAGAGCTTTATTGAGATTATTCACATGCCTTTGCTGTTCTTAAGTTCTCATTGGTTTCACATGAAGGCTTGTTTCAGGCACAGAACACACCAGCCTTTTCCAACTTAACTAGTCCTTCATAATAGACTTTATCTGAAAAAAAGAAGAGAAATAAGCAACTTCGAATAACCGAACCTCCAGATATAGTATTTCCAAGGCTATTAAATACTAGTAATTAATATCTTTACCCAGACCAGTTGAAATGGAGATGAATCCTATCTTTTCCATCCTGTCTGAGTTTGAAATACTAGAGTTGATGGTTATTGAATTTCTTCTTATTTTATTAGGCACACGTTCCTGTTACTGATTCTTTTTCTTATTCCCGGGATCGTGATGATGGTGGCATATGGATTGATCTCTCTGGAACTTTACCAAGGAATAAAGTTTGATGCTCTCCAGAAGAAGTCTGCTAGGGGTAACTACCTCTTTGCTGTATGGTTTATGCCAAAATATCCAAAAGCTTGGTTCCTATAACAGAAATAGTTATACCCAGAGTGTGTGTTGGAGATTTTTGGAAGTATCCTTGGGAGAGACTCTGTGTCGTAAGGCACAGTCAAGAGACCTAGTGTCCCTATTCCCTCATCTGTAAAATGGAGAAATTGTCCCTCTCAAAGCGGACCTAACACGCATATACCCAGTTATCAGCTCAGGGCCCGTGTGTCCCTCGCTGTCTGCAGTGCTGCATTCCAACAGACCCCTCCTTCCACAACTGCAGGGAATTGTAACTCCAACCCCCCATCCTCTGTCGTTCCTTTCCTTGTCACCCTGCAGTTGCCCAAAACCTAACTTCTTCCCACTCATTGTAATCCGCTAGCCACTACAATTTACCCCGACACCTTTGTCGATATAACTTTTTGCCCTTCTCATTCCACCCCTTCATTCAGCTCTTTTACGGCAACTTATATGTCTCCAGGGCTTCTTTGGTTTTGGTTGATTTTTGCTCATTATCCAGGTTTCCCAGTAAAAGCATTCTGGAAGCTTACAAAGCAAGCAGGGACCTTTTCCCTGAGGATCTGGGAAAAGAAAGAGTGTGAATATTCATTCTTTAGTAATTCTTATCCTTATAATTGACATCCATAAAATATTTTTTATTATATACTATGTATATGATAGACTATTTATTATTGTTGTTGTTTTTAAGATTTTACTTCTTTATTTGAGAGAGACAAGAGAGAGTGAGGGGAGGGGCACAGGGAGAGGAGAGAATCTCAAGCAGACTCTGGTGGGCTCAGTGCAGAGCCCAGTGCGGGGCTGGATCTCAAGACCCGGAGATCAAGACCTGAGCGGAAACCAAGAGTTGGAGGCTCAACCAACTGAGCCACCCAGGCACCCCACATTATTTTATTAAAGTAGCTTTCCATTTGAAGGAAAGGACTACTGTAGATCAGTACTTACCCATACCAGCACAGGCCCAAGGATGCCTGCCCCCTGCTTCAGTTCCAGTTTGGTTTGATCCCCTCGATGGAGGGGGCGTCTGCCCCGCGTGACCCATCCCCAACAATAAGCCATGTCACTTGCCCATCCAGACAGGAAACCAAGCACCGGCAGCAGCGGCCGGTATGAGGACAGCGATGGGTGTTACCTGCAGAAGGCCAAGCCCCGCAGGAAGCTGGAGCTTCAGCAGCTGTCCACCCCCAGCAGCGGCGGGGTCAACCGCATCAGGAGTAGCAGCTCCACCGCCAACCTCATGGCCAAGAAGCGCGTGATCCGCATGCTCATGGTCATCGTGGTCCTCTTCTTCCTGTGCTGGATGCCCATCTTCAGCGCCAACGCCTGGCGGGCCTATGACACGGCCTCGGCCGAGCGCCGCCTCTCAGGGACCCCCATTTCCTTCATCCTCCTGCTGTCCTACACCTCCTCCTGCGTCAACCCCATCATCTACTGCTTCATGAACAAACGGTTCCGCCTCGGCTTCATGGCCACCTTCCCCTGCTGCCCCAACCCCGGTCCCCCAGGAGCGAGAGGAGAGGTGGGAGAGGAGGAAGAAGGTAGGACCACGGGCGCCTCTCTGTCCAGGTATTCCTACAGCCACATGAGCGCCTCGGCGCCGCCCCCCTGAGCTGGGCCCGCCTCCAGCGCCGCAGGAAGGAGGGGCGGAGGGGGGAGACCCGAAGGAAGATTCCATTGCCCGTGGGAACTGTTCATTGTCTGCTTTTCATCCTTCATCCGGGTTCCGGGAGAAACTCCCGCAGAGCGGGGCTGTGACTTGGTTTCTGGGCAATTCAGGCAGGAAGGGTTCAGTAACATTCACCATCAGAAACACCTCAACAGGCCAGTCACAGGAGTCCAACAGGGCTCATACTACAAATGCGAGGCCAAACACGTGGTCCAAATGGAGATGTGAACCCTACTTAAGCTTTAGAAGTTTCTAGAACATCCAAGGTGGGCTCTCATTCCCCCTGGTGACACAGTTCTGGGCTCTGCTTCATCTGCTGATGCAGAAGTGTGGAGGCTGCTTTGCCTCTGGAGAGTCTATCATGCACATAGTGTAGCCACCACCCTCATCATGACCACAAAAAGGGGACATGAAGCAAACCCTCTTCTGGCCATTTTTCTGAAGTAAGACAACAGCCTGACTTTTTCTTTTTGAGGTTGGCCAGGGCCATTCAGAGACATAATTTTATGGTGTCATCAAGAGAGCATAAGGAATGTTATCTAAAGAGATTGAATTGGGAATTTATGTTTCTAAAAAGAAAAGAGATTTGCGGCAAATAGCTGAGTGGAATGCCATCTTCCCATCATTACATTAAGAGCCAGAAGGCACGCAGAAAATTTTTTCTACTTTAATGATATATATCGCTTAACTCCAACTTTATATGGCGATATGGAACCCCATGGCTTCTTTGCCTCAATTTCTCAGACTCATCTGGCACTGCCTCTTTCCCAGAAGGACTCCAGGTACAAAGGAGAGTTGTAACCTATGTGTACCTGTCCAAGGGTGGAAGCAGAAACATGTATAGTCAGTCCCAGAAGAAAAACTGGCACACTCGGACTCCACTCGCAAATAGCTTTGAAGGTCAAAGCTGTCTGTCCCATTGAATATAACCTATGTATTGGTCAGTAATTGTATTAAGTTGGTATATATGTACAAACCAAACATATAAGTATGTTCTTTACATATAAGTATATTCTCCAGTGTGTTTAAAAAAGAAAAAAAATAGTGAATGGATGTTGGAATTCAGTAATTGTTATCATTTTACATTCCTTCACAACAGCTAGAGTTCCATGTGAACTTTTCCTTGCAAAACTAGGGTTGAAATCTCTCTCCTCCAATTCAGAAATCTCAATTAAAATAAGACATGAGCTATAAATTTAGATAGTAGGGAGTACATTTCTAGAATAGAATGTATCAATCCGCTCCGCCAGCCCTTCTTTTTCTTTCTTTTTTTTTTTTTCAGGGTAATATTGTCTTGACTATTTAAATAAATTAACACAGGCATTTTTGACAGAAACAAGTGCACATGCTAGTGTAGGAATAAAAAAGGAAAGAAGGAGGGAAGGAAGGAGAGAGGGAAGGAGGGAAGGAAGGAAGGAAGGAAGGAAGGAAGGAAGGAAGGAAGGAAGGAAGGAAGGAAGGAAGGAAGGAAGGAAGGAAGGAAGGAAGTTAGTTCATAGTGTCCATGCCTCCAAGCGTCTGACAAGTGAGCTTTTCTTTTCCGGGCTTTCATGGGACCATGACCATCCATTGTTCCAGACCTGACATTCTTCAGGATGCACAAAGGTCAGTGATTTCAATCATGGAAAAAAAAAATCCGTGTGAAAAGGAGAAAGGGAAGACAGTGGCAAGAAGGGGTCATGAATAGGGGAAGGGATATTGTGTAATTTAAGATGTGTCACCATTTAATTTTTTGGGTGGGATGGCTGTGTGCTAACAGACGAAACATTAATGAGAACATGACCATTTATTATAGGGGACTTTTCAAGCCAGATGTTAGTTTTTCTATTTCTCAGGCTGCCGTGTCATGTCAGTATTTATAACCAGTCATCTCAAATATTTCAAGATAAAAAAATTCAATGGACTAAAGCACGTACTGCTAAATGATAAAAGGAATAAGATGTGAAATTGTCTCCATTATTTAAGTAAATTCTACAAAACCTACAATTTTCCTTCCAGAAGAAAAAGCCTTCCCCTTTGACAGTGTTAGCCTATAAATAAAGATAAATTAGGCCCTCCCCCCATTACTGGGAAAGTCTGGAAGTTCCAAAGGTGTGTTAACATCTGCATAGGGCTGCCAGATTTAGCAAATAAAAATACGGGATGTCCAGTTAAATTCTAATTTCAAATAAGTAACAAATAATATTTTTTTAGCATGAGTATGCCCCTTGCACTAACGTACATCCTGCATTTTATCTGGCAGCCCTACTTTAAAATAATTTAAAAACTACACAAATATATAAATAAGATTTCCCAGATATAGGACAGTAATATGCCTCTGTTCACTAAAATTCATTGGATGGTCTTTCATATAATGGAAGCTTTTTTAAAAAAGAAGAAAAATGCTATTAACTTTCAGAATCTGTGTCTGACCTTTGGGAACGGTATCGTCAACAGGCTGATTTTACTTAGGAAACATTTTTATTAACATAAAGCTATTCAAGTACTTTGTGGAATCAGCTGCCTTTATTTCATGCTGCAGTGGATTACTAATTTGAATTGGAACAAAAGCGGCCCATACAGTTAAGAAAACAGATTCACAAAGTTCCTGGGATTTTCTAGTGTTTTCAGGTAGCTTCCACACATCACCAGTGCAGTGAATTACAACTTGTGTCTTTGATCTTTACTTAACCGATATGTCCCAATGGTTTCTGGTGCCCCCGTTACTGTGGTAATTTCTCATGATAAACTTGTAGTGGTGAATGAGCAATGCATGTATCTATATGTTGGTCACACATGTTTGCGTATGCTTAACATGTATCTCCTCCATTCGGTTAAAATGTAATCATGAGACACGTGACAATAGCTGTTGAACCTCCAACCTCCACTGTAATTCCTTCCAGTGTTTTGCCCAGCACTCTGCACACTGGGATTGCTCAATAAATATTGTGACTGACCTCTGCTCTGCCCCCTATGCTTTGAAAGCGCTCTTTCCATCCACAGTAGCAATTCTCAACAAGGGGGCATACTCTTGGGGGAGTATCCAGAATTTCTGGAAGGCTTTTCCCAACACCCAAGAGCTGGCTATGTGAGTATCTGCTGTCATCTCTCCCTTTCCTTTGCTCTCTTCCTGGGTGTGTGTGTGTGTGTGCGCATGCATGTGTGTGCGTGGGTGTGTGCGTGCGTGTGCGTGGGGGTGTGGGGGTGTGCATGTGCAACTGGAGATGTTACTAATGGGAGGATATTGCGTCTGTGAACAGTGCTAGACACAGATTTTTTTAAAAGGACCAGGCAAAGGACATCTAAAGTGGTCAAAAGTCATAGAAACAGAAAGTAGAAGAGCGGTTACCGAGGGCTGGGGGAGCAAGCGAGGAGGAGGAGTTCGTGTTTAGCAAGTATAGAGTTTTCATGTTGCAAGATGAAAAGTTCTGGAGATCTGTTGTACAACAATGTGAAAATACTTAACAGTACTGAACTGTACACCTAAAAATGGTGAAGGTGGTAAATTTAACATTGTATTTTTTTAGCAAGATAGAAAAGTGGGGGAGGGGTTGGTCTACCATATCCTTCGATTTTGCTCTTCCCTGCCCTCATTCTCTTTAAGGAGAATAGCAAAGAACCATCACAACGATCCTAATCCATCTAAAGTACCCAACTGACTCCTTAGGGCTGTAAATACTATCGAAGCCCACTTGGTGCCCTTAGCTTTTCTCTCCCATCCATTGTTCTCCTGTATGACCCCTCTGACAGCATTTCTGCTCCAACCAAGGTGCTCCATCCCTCTGCTTCCTTGATTTGGATGTGTCTGGCCTCCCTGGAGTCCTAGCCACCCTCAAATGGAATATCGATTGCAAATTTCCTAGACCAGCTCCTGTAGCGAAGGGCCAGCTGCGCCCCACACGGCTTCTCTTAAAGCCCAGCCTGTGAGGATTCCTAGCTCCTCCTTCTTGCCCAGGAAGAGAGGTCAGACAAGCATGAATTATCCAGCACCCATAGCACATAGAGGTGCTCGTAAGTGTTTGGGGCCGGGGGGGGGGGGGGGGGGAGGGCGGTGAATGAATGAGTGAACGAATGAATACATCTGAATGGAGTTGTTCCTCAATGCTAGTTCTCTCCTGGCCACTTGGGGGCAGGGCGAGCATCTTGCACAGAGTATGCAGTGGTGCTTGACAAAGGACAATGCTGATGGGCAGCCACACTGTTTCTCGTCCTCCACAATGTACATGAAATCCAGCTGACCCGGCATTCAAGTTCCCTGACATAAACACCTCCTCTGTGGGCAAAGCAGATGCACTCTGGACCACAAGTCCGGAAGCCTGTGTCCCAACTGTAGCCCTCTTGCTAGGTCGCTGTGTGGCTCCAGGCAAGTCACACGCCCTCTCTGGGTATCAGTTCCTTCCTGTGAGAAATGAGACGTTGTCCGATCCCTCTCTGATACTCTGTGACTTGGTGGCTCAGAATTTGCTGTGTCCTCTTCTTGACCCACACCTGCTCTTTAATTTCATTGGCTTCCGTTGACTTTGCAATCGGAGGAATCTCCTTGACACCCAAGCACAGAACCACCTCTGAGGAAGCCTTGACCTCTGGAACACCTCTGTGAGAAGCCTGCCAGGGCGAGAAAGCGCAGGGCCCAGAGAGGACTCTGCCAGCCCTCAGCCCCTTCTAGGCCCCAGCTGCCCAGAGCCATCTGTGGGAAGCCAGTCCCTGCAACACCAGCCCCCGTTGCCCTTGGAATGCCTGCATAAAAAGCCACTCCTGAGATAAATTTAGCCTAGGTAAGAGGGGACCAACACTGATTAAAGCCTATTTTATGCACTGTGGCAAGTCACTGCAGGTGACAGCAGGTGACAAGAAATACTCCTAAAAGGAGGAACCAATGTTTGCTATGCATTTACTTCTCAAAGCAAGGTGTGGGAGGCATCATGGTCCACATCTCACCGGTAAGGAAACTGAGGCTCCGAGGG